TCACTTTAAGAGTTGATTACTTGAGTTAAACTCCAATGAATTATATTTCCCACTTTAACAATAATGTTTTTTTTTTTGGTATATGAAGTAATGAATGGAATAAAAATATCAATAATACTGTGAATTATTGTTTAAAGTTTTTCCCTACTCAAAATATGAAACTAACAGGAATAATTCATTAACATTATCATAATGAAGATAAAGTTGTAGAAAAAAAAATGACAACATTTGAAAATTAAGAAGGAACGAATTGAGCGAAGAAATTTCTTTTCAGTTAGTTTTTCATCATGGCTCTACACTAATATCTAATTGATTTACAATAATGATATAATACTCATTGAGGGGATACGTTACGTAATAGCTACATAATAGTTACATAATGACATCTAAATTAACATTGAGTAATTGGAAGAAAGAGGATTATTAATATTCAAAGTAATTATTAAATCAAGACGTTGCTACGTTGCGTAATATATGAAAACGAGAGAAGGAATAGAATTTTATAATGGATGGTCAATAGAATAGTAGTTACATAAGAATCAAGAGATGAATGTTGAGAAATTATAAAGTTCAAAAGCAACAGAAGATGAACAGAACGATAGCATATCATTTCTAGATGTCCAACTAACTAGAAGAGCAGACGGGACTTTAAAAAGAGGGGTACACATAAAGTCTACAGCAAGACAATACACTCATTTCCATAGTGCAGTTCCAATCGGGTACAAAAGGAACTTAATAAAGATCTTGACTCATCGGGCTAGAATGATTTGCTCTAAAGACACTATTGAAAAAGAACTGAATAATATTCGCAACCTACATAGTATGAATGGGTATCCCATGAAATTCATCGACAAACATATGATGGAAAAGAAAACAAGGATAAAGATACCAACCGTCCTAAAGAAGGTACTATTCATAAAACTACAATTCATAAATGACACCATTGAAGAAATCTTGACTCAGAATCTAAGAAGAGCCGTACAAAAAGCATTTAATGCTGCCAGATTAAATGCCATCTTCTACATCCATCCCAAAATAAGAACAGCCAATAAAGAGACTGTCTGAATTCGCCAAATTTATGTGTATCTATCGTTTCAACTGCTCCTGTGGAGCCAGTTATATTGGGCGTACAATTCGGCAAGTTCGCCATCGTATTACAGAACATCATCCGACATGGCTAAGCAAAGAACAGGTAAAAGGGATTAAAAGTTCTATTCTCTCTCATTTGGTTGACACAGGTCATCAAGTTGAATTGAATAAAGCTTTTAAGGTTATCTACAATATCCCATCAAATTTGCCACATGGTTTACGAGTGCGCCTCTTGCACATTGCGGAAGCCATCGCAATCCATGTTCACAAACCTGACCTTTGCATTCAAAAAAGATTCGTACAACCACTTTCTCTGCCCTGGCCATCAGTTTAAGATTTCCTTCAAAAGGACTACTTTTCATACTTCTACTTTTTTTTAACTTTTGTAATTTTGTTTCTGTTGCTTTATAATTTCTCAACATTGATCTCTTGATTCTTATGTAACTACTATTCTATTGACCATCCATTATAAAATTCTATTCCTTCTCTCTTTATTCATATAATACGCAACGTAACAACGTCTTGATTTAATAATTACTTTGAATATAAATAATCCTCTTTCTTCCAACTACTCAATGTTAATTTAAATGCCATTATGTAACTATTATGTAGCTATTACGTAACGTATCCACTCGATGAGTATTATATCATTATTGTAAATCAATTAGATATTAGTGTAGAGCCATGATGAAAAACTAACTGAAAAGAAATTTCTTCGCTCAATTCGTTCCTTCTTTATTTACCAAATGGCAAAATGGGAATTTTCACTATATTTGAAAATTAGATAAGATAGAATCTATAAGATATAATTATATTAATGAGACAATCAATCAATACCCTTGACCTTAAGAACAATACCTATATACATATGTATACATTAGTTGACTTTCCTGTATTTATATTTAACTAAATAATAACAACATCCCTTTTATTTTCTTATATTCAAATTAAGGAAACAATGTAAAAGAGCGTCCAAATAAAGAATAATGAGCCTTTTTTTAGGTTATACAGACATATATATATATGGGTGAATGAATGAAATGTTTCATTATCAAGTCATTCTCATCAGCTACTCATAAACTTATGTTAACTCAATAATTAAAACGAAATAACCTATTCCAAGGTAAATATATAGTTTTCTTCTATGAAATAAAAGATACAAACATTTTTTTGGATTATTAGTTAACATTTATAAATGTGACATTATGTTCGAATATTTTCTATCAACTTATCAGATTCATTCACTGTCAGAAAATATGTAGATATTTTCTCCTTGTATTGTTATAATTCTCTCTTACGGTTATAATCCAGCTATTCCTATTGCTTAGTATTCTCGAACACCGTTTCACCCGACAAGTCTTCCAAATCAGAACACGGTTGAACAGGAAAAAAGATTATATTCCAAATAACAAGGTTAGATGGAAGTAAGAAGCACAATAGGAAACACGTTAGTATATTTATAGTTTTTACATGAGAAGATTCTAGAATGTCTTCTAAGTATCGACTAGCGCTGATTGGATAAGAATTAGTGAATCAGTGTGCGTCAACGCAGGAGTGCATTGAGCATGATTTAATCCAACCTATGTCCCGCTAAAATGTATATTACAAAAAAAAAGTTTCTTTTTCTTTTTGATTATTCACTCGATTCTTTATTATTTTATATCTCTATGAAGTTTTTTGATAAACATTTGACTTGATTAGAAATAGGATTATTTACTCATTTAGCTTATATTACTCATAATGTTTCTGATAAATAATTTGATAATTTTAAATAATTTACAATCTGATTCAAGTATCTACTATATACTAATTATTTTCCAGCGTTTATAAGTGTATAGAAACCTTTTTTATCAACAGGGTTCTGTAGTTTTAGAAATAATAAATTGCCTTCAACAACAACAACTTGCCAATCCAAAAAAATTGAGTCTGAATTTCATAGATTTAATTACTTTTATTATCTTTAAGTGGGATTCGAATAGAACAAGTTTAATTCATTTTATTCCATGAGGTTCTTATCAATCGCTTTTAAAGTAATAAAAAAATATTAAAAAGTTGAAGTACTTAAAACAGTGAAATTCACTACATGTGGCTAAGCATCATTGTAGTGGACTAGAATAACTGTAATATAGTTGAAGAAATATAAACGAAATATGAAATGTGTCACAACTGAATGTGATTTCCTAGGAGCCTTCTAAAGGGTGAAACAATAGCAAAAGATTATAGAGCTAAAAAAATAATTGATTATGTAATAAAGGAACACAACCTAATGGTCATTAAGAGTAACACAAATTAAGATCATTCAGCTAACAATGGAATTATTAATTCGAAAAAAATAATAAAACGAACCAGTACTTGTTCGACATAACTAATACAATTCAGAATAAAGCACTTATTCCTAGGACGAAACGGCCGTCCAGTGCTTCCAGGTTTTCAATGGTGGTCTAGTTTCAACTGACTCATGATTACAACCTGTGAAATTTACTAAAATCTCCACAAAACTCATTATGATATTGGTAAATTGTATCATTTCAGTCGCTAATGGGTGAATATAAAAAGTAGCTGTTTATAAATGTCAGATTAATAGTATTTAATTTATTATGAACTGGTCTATGTTTTAAAAATCTATGATAATATTCATGAAATTTCGTTTTCAATATATTTACTAAGACAGTTATTTGTCAAAACATCAACTGAAAATCAGTGTTTTCACGAATAAACTGATGTTTAAAACATAACTTAACAGTATGAAAGTATAGATCCCCACAGGTCTCAGATAAAGTCTGTTTTTAGGTGAAGAGCTTACTCCTTCAGGTAGTTTCAAATGTAAATAAAACAGCTATTTAGTGGTTCCTCAGTTCAAAGTTTTTCCAAGCCGATGTCACATGGTGATGAAGATCACTATTCCGATCCTTTTTCATACCTATCTGCAATGTTATCCTATTAGTAAGTCAAAAGTAACATAAAAACTGTAATTCAAATGGCTTAATAAGCAAAGCTTTGAGCAAGTGAACGATGAACAACCAGAAAATAGACAAGTAGAAAAATATCTAACAAATTTACGACGACAAATATAAAGGAGTAAAAGTGTAATATAGGATGGACATGTTTTAAAATGATAAACTAGATTATAGTTGCTATAAAATTAGGATAATTGAATACATGGCCTACTCAACATGACTACCTATCTAAAAACGCAGTTTATAGATAGGTATTTTTAATTAAACAATGGTTGAATTCAGTGAATAGATCGTGTATATAGCTATTGACAGTTGCTTGTTAAAAACACACAATTCATTTTTTTTTAAATTTCGTTATGTCATGCTATGAGCGAGTTCTGTAATAAATATTCAGGAAAACTTGGAAAATAGTTCATTTGCACACCAAAGTTTGAATTCTTCCTACTTAATAATTATGTGTTACTTAACAAAATGAAGATGGTTAAGGAAAGGAAGTTTTCTTTCAATGATGTCACATAGTAAAGCTTTACCGTCATATTTTTAATTAATTTTACAAATAAGGGTCTACCATAAAATATTTTTGAATGTTGAGTATAATTTATGTGGTGAGTAAAGTGTTATAATCGTGGAAATAACACATGGGGGGAGAGATTTGGACAATAAGTAACCATTTGATGAATATGAAGAACACAGAGATAAAAAAAGGTTAAAAACAAGCTATAAAATAAAGGCCACATTACTAGGAAGATGGTAACATAAAGGATTGAACATGTTGCTTCTAAACACAAAGAAAAAGCTTGAAATAATAAATTTTTAAAGTATACGATATGTAAATGTTTTTTCAGCTTTTCTAAGAGCCAGTTTGTTACAATTTATAAGTAAATTTAACTAAATATTTTGGTGGAGACAGGTAACAGGAATTTAATATATGTTTAACATTTACTTTCTGAAAATTTCACCTATAAGTATCTTCGTTTGTAATTGGGAAGAGCATACCTTGTGTTGTTATAATAAACTGCTGCATAGGAAAAAAACCTTGTAAATACAAAGTGAGATGGCCTAAACAGCCAGTTTATCGACAATTCATTTTGCTTTCACTTATTCCCGAATAGATAACTAATTACAAATACGTATAATAAAATACAAGTTTTACTATTTGTACCAAAACATATTTAAATCTGTAGTTTTGTTTACTTTTATTTCTTCATTTTTAGGAGTAATGTACAGCTTTTATGGTACGGGACAAAGTTATCAATTACCACCTATATCAATATATCATTTAAATAATGGATTCTACAACTTAGTTAACAAGACACATTATACATTTTTTGACATATACACGACAACTATCTGAGAAAACTAAAATAAAGTGTTTTTAAGAATATCTTTAAATTATTTGTAGAAATAAAAGTGTAAAGCTTGGTTCCATACATCTGTTGATAAAAAGTTTCTTAAATATCAAATCAGTTAATTTATTTATGAATAACATAACTTGAGATTTTTCATGTGAGCTGCAACCACCTGATGAATCATAAATATGATGCTTAATTATTGTTTAACCGAATTTTGTGATTTCATTGCCTTAGATTTATCATCTGCATAGAACTTCAAATTCTTCTGTTTATGCTCACTTAGCATAGACTGTTTAATACCGCAGCTTTTGAAACCTTTAAAACAGACAACTGTTTCAGATTTTGAAATTTTTTGAATTAGTTTTGTAAATCTTTTCAGTTTTATAAATAACCGGTTTAAAAAACTATTATTTGCTTGTGAATACGGCATATCGTGAACAATCATTGGTTGAAATTCACAATTTGTAGATTTACTTTGACGCATATAACAGTTATTACAAACATGTATATATTTTTTGAAGTTTAACCGTGAAGATAAATAACTAGGGAGTTGATCAAAGCAATAGGGTACAGTTGGTCTATTGATATTACTGGCAGATCCATTTGACCAGTACGTTAGCGCACATGGGACGAACTTTCTATATAAAGAAACGGAAAGAAATAAATGAATTAAAAACTACTACTGACATGGATGCATTGCACATGAAGTCCATTATCTAACTGTTGCCCTTGACAAAAGCGTTTTAAGCTTAATTAAAACAGTGTCCGTTATTTACCTATTTTTTCACTCTTATATATTTATTAAAAGTCACTTAACAAAGACAGTAATCATTCCGAGTTCTATATGCTATTATAAGTTGAACAAACCAGCCACTTCTGATCTGTATTTAAGAAAGTGGAATCACAAGCAAGAATGTGACCAACGAACATACAGACATTATGAACCTCTGTAACTATCCTGTAAAGTGTAATAAACTTGACAGAATGTTACTGGATAAAGAGAACGCTATTTTTTGATGAGCTTTCACTTTAACTTGATATGGTGATAGAGAAAGCCTATCTGCTCTTTTGTCTTCACTACTTGCACGATTTTGTGTCTGTTATAAAAGCGTGTAAATTTTGTTTCAACCTGAAGACTTAAAAATTCAGCAATAAAATAACTTCGTAAGCAGCATACAATGATTTTGTGCATGAGATATTTTAACCGATAAATAATCGATTTCAAGGAATATTGGCTGTTTATTCAGCTTGCATAGACACTTTAAACAGCAATTCTCTTTAATTTTGAAAGCAAACAGATTTCACTTATTAAAAACTTCAATCAACTACAAATTATTTCCACAGAAATCACTGCACAAAAGATCTAGTTTACTTGCTAATACAGCTACCTCAAAGACAACCGGTATACTGTTATCCTAAGTTTCGTGAACAGATAACAGAATGTAAAAGAAACTATCTTCAATTAGAACCCGTTATGTTAGTTACTCTAAGAGAACAAACACTGAAGGCAACAGTAAGCTGACTTACATTGAGTAAATAAAAAATGATAAGCTTATTCACATCGCTTGTACTACCAAGGTCATAACGAACAAAATTTTTTTATTGGATTACCGTTGTTTCGTGCACTTCTTTAGTACGCTTGAATCCCTATCATTACACGTCTAGAAACTCGAAATTTGAATGGCGAAGACTTTTTGGTATAAAATTGACTTTGCGCGAACTGAATGATGGTAAGTGTTCCAAATAACTGAAGTGTGAAATTTCAGTTGAGTTCGGGTTTTAAAACGTTTTTGAACTGTTAAAACTTCATGACAATATTTAAGTCAAAATACATCATAAAAGGTATTACTTACCCAACATTCATAGATTGATGATATATAGTACTTCTGTCAGATATTTCCACCGGATTTTCTCTTAGTCTTGGACAAACTGAGTTTCTGTTTATTGTTCCAAATATACGTTCCTCCTTAGAGTAACTGGTGGACTCCAAGTCATAACAAACATAATATAGAGGTATATATAAGGAGCTTCCTGACAAGTCTTTATTTTTAAATGTTGTGTAAAGTAAAGGCTTTGAAGAACATGATGTATGATTTGATTTCTCGAATTCAGGAGTAATGTGTATTTCATCCGTTTTGCAGGCTGACTTTAGGTCATTTATAATTGATACATTTAGTAACTGATTATATTGAGCAACTTCCACAATTAACATTTCATTTTGATTGACTGATAAGTCATTAGATGTTTTATGTGCAATAAGTATTTTGTCTAATTTTGAGGAGTTTGGAGTTTCACGGCCATAGTTTCCACTTATTTCCTTCATATGACAGTTCAAGATCCCATGTGGTAGTTTGTCAAAGTTGATCGGTTGATTTGTAACTGGATCTACACTTGTAGCAAAAACATTGGGAATTCATTGTCTAACATATAATTGCGGAAAAAATCATTGTAGTACATACGCATCATTCAATTAAATTTACTGCTATGATACCCAAATATGTGCGTACAATCATCGACGTACCACAAAATACAATAATAATCTTAAGTGAGCTTATTACATCTAGTCATAAAACACCATAAAGCTTCAAAGTTTTTAACATATGGAAGGTTTCATATAAAGTCGAAATATTCGAGAAACAAGTTATATAGTCAGGTAAATACCTAGAATAAGACGTTTGTATTTTACTTAATTTATACATCTTGAAACACTCAGTAACTAGGCACAACGCGCCATTATTTCAATAACTCTATCAAAATAATCAAAATACGTTTACTTATTGAGACAAAGTAGCTCAAGCAAAAAACAAAGTTATACTTGTTTTGGTAAAAAAAACCACACACAAAAGAAGGCTTTTAATCTTGTATACTAGCTTTTCGTAAATTTACGCGGTCATATGGGCTTTAACGGTAATGTTGTATAACTTTTATTTGAAAGAGCCTACTAATGATGTCCAACATGGACCACAATTCAGTTAATTACCAAGTCATCATATTTTTAACTGGTCGTAGCTATTAAGATCTAATATTTGTACTATAAATTACGTTTTCAGTAAAATTTTATAACTTTAATCACTCGCATGTTTTTGCTACTTATCTTCATATTTTATACACACACATCAAATAGTAATTAACTTTTCCTAGTTTTGTTTCTCGAGGCACTGGGCAATTGAAACTGATCTTAAGAGGACTCTGATTGAATACATCCATCTATATAAATTGATTGCTTAAGCACAGAACACAACACAAACTACTTCAAATGCACTAAGCACATTTTTGACGACTACGGGAACTTAAATAATGAAATCATGATAAACTACAAATCAACTACAGTCTTTGCTCAGTATTACTAAGAAATCAAAATTACAAGAGAAGACGTTTATATATGAGCTAGAATAGTAGTTTCATACCGACTGAAAAATAACAGATTCAGATTCAGATTTGTGTAGTAAGGACAGAAGGCCTACGGCCTATGTTATTCCTTTTCTAGTATGCTTCTGTGAGTGTCCAGTCTTCTCTTGAAAGAGTCAATTGAAGGTGCGGATACCACTGCTTCAGGCAGCAGGTTCCAAGTATTGATGACTCGGTGTGAAAACCTGTATGCCAGGGGTATTTTGTTCGTTCTTGGCTTTTCTACTCCTCATTTTCATAAACTCAACAACAACAAGACAAACGAGTTCAGGCGCCTGATTTTTTCGATGCTGAACCATTAAGGTTTTGTAATGTAGTGTAGAAAGCATTAATGTATCTGGCTGTACTTGCCTAAAGATTAGCTAAAATTCGGGAAGCGCAAAGAAAATACGAAATGCAGCTGGCAGAATCTGCACTCAAGCAGCCCAAGAGGATATTCTCGTACATAAACTACAGAACAAGGACTCATCACTGGATTCCCAACCTAATTAAAGTAGGAAGTGAATCTGAAATGATAGAGGAAGATCAGGAAAAAGCTGAGATTATGGCTGACTACTTTGGGGCAGTTTTCACTCAGGAACCTCCTCTAGAGAAAGAACCAGACCCAATTACAGAGTCAACAAACCAGCTGCTCACCGTGGACTTCGACCAAAACGATGTGCTTAAGGCTCTTAGCACCCTAAACATGGAGACGTCAACAGGACCAGATGAACTACACCCTAAAATCTTGAGACATATTGCCCAATATATCGCAGCCCCACTGACTGTGATATTCAAAATGTCACTTGACCAAGGTGTGTTACCTATGGACTGGAAGGACGCAATCGTCACTCCCATACATAAAACTGGTCTACGACAAGTTCCATCAAATTACAGACCCGTAAGCCTCACCAGTGTTGTAATTAAAATACTGGAAGGGATAATCAAACGGACCATAACGGCATTTATGGAAACCAATAACTTGCTGAACATGGCACAACATGGTTTTAGAAAGGGTCTATCCTGTACAACGAACCTCCTTATAGCTAGGGAGCTCTGGATTAATGCGCTAGACAACGGAAACTCGGTGGATGTTGTCTACATAGACTTCAGTAAGGCTTTTGACAAGGTGCCAACTAATAGACTGCTATTGAAGTTGGCAAACCTTGGTATTGCCGGACCTCTTTTAAAATGGATTAAGGATTTCCTAGTAGGTCGTAGGCAAAAAGTAAGAATAAATTCCAAGTGCTCCATCTGGAGACCAGTACTTAGTGGAGTACCCCAAGGTTCCGTCCTAGGTCCTTTACTTTTTATAATGTACGTTAATGATCTTACAAGTATAGTACAGTCTCCAATGTTATTATACGCTGACGATGTAAAAATTTGGCGAGTAATAACTGGTGACACAGACGCATTTACTCTTCAGGCGGACTTAAATAATATGATAAACTGGTCTAAAGAGTGGCTAATGCCTATCAACTCGGAAAAGTGTGTCTACATGCACTTGGGGGATTCAAAGGTTAATACGTACAACATAGGGGATGTGTCATTACCCATAGTCCGGTCTCATAAGGACCTAGGGGTGACAGTGAGCAATGATCTTAAGACGACGGCCCATTGCCGGGAGGTCGCAGTTAAGGGGTTTCGAACCCTCTGGGCTTTAAAAAGGACATTCACTAAGCTTGATACTACCATGTTCACCACATTATACACATCCTTAGTGAGAACTAAGTTAGAGAACTGTGTTCAGGCTGCAAGCCCCTGTTTAAAAGGTGACTCAGACATACTAGAAAAGGTACAGAGGGCAGCTACGCGTGCGATTCCGGAACTCCGGGGTTTATCATATGAAGAGCGGCTTGAAAAACTGAACCTCTTTACTCTGTCCTATCGCAGACTAAGGGGAGATCTAATATTGATGTACAGAATACTAAGAAATGATTTCGGACCTAACTTATTCTCTCTCTTCCTTCCCACTAGATCGGGACACCTCAGAGGACATAGCAGGCGAGTAGAAAAGCCAAGAACGAACAAAATACCCCTGGCATACAGGTTTTCACACCGAGTCATCAATACTTGGAACCTGCTGCCTGAAGCAGTGGTATCCGCACCTTCAATTGACTCTTTCAAGAGAAGACTGGACACTCACAGAAGCATACTAGAAAAGGAATAACATAGGCCGTAGGCCTTCTGTCCTTACTACACAAATCTGAATCTGAATCTGAATCTGAATAGTCACTAGATATCCAGCGAACTTCGTTTGAAATTGTGCAGCTGTGAATACGAAAGGACTTGACAGTTAGCTAACTCGTGTTGGTCTCATCATACGGTCATGCTGAAACCTTTGATCTAGTGTTTTACGCATACTAAATAATCTATGCTGACAATATACGGGGAATTTTAAGCACATTATATCAATTTTCAGATTTTTAACAGTCGTAGACTTCAATTTTTCAGTTTGAGTAGCGAGAGCACCTGGTTCATAAGCAGTTATTAAATATCGATATTTAATAGATCTATATCCATGTGAAGTAGTAGTAGTAGTAAAATACTGAAGTGTCAGGGACCTATATTCTAATATGGTTGGCAACGATAACGAAAAATAGTGGAACATATCGTCAAATGATAATATCAAGTTTTTAGCAATTCGATTGATTTAAATTTGTACCTGAAATTGTATGAAGTGGCTCTACAACAACTTAGATTATCATTTTATGTACGCCCTTAACTCTACAGTTCAACTGATGAACTAATGCTGATCGATGTGTTAGACACACAACAATAAGAATCTACGGCCGGTTTTTTTTGAAAGACCAAAATAATGCAAACCCACAGAATCAGATCTGCATTTCAAATGGAAAAATCATGTCAAGGTTTTATTGTTGATTCAATATCCAATATCTCGGTTGCGAGACAGTACAATTGTTCGATTTGTTTACAGTCGCTTCTTGTTGCTTCAGTACAGTCCCAGGTATTCCGCAGTGTTTGATGGGCTGTAGTCTGGCGACTCGACTGCACTACTTTTAGTCAGTGTGGTAGTCATTCATGGATTTGTGTATACAATTATCTGGGTGAGTGCGTTTATCTCAGAGCGATTGGGATACTGGATACCAGCAGCACTCACATTTCCAGACATTAGGTTGGTTGTTTGTAATGCCAAAATGATAAGGTGGTAGTTTGAGAGCTGAGATTTGATCATTTTGAGAATAAATTAATAAGTTATTTATGTGGTAATTGGAAGAATAAAAGGTTAAACGGAGATGACGGTTGGTGAGATAGAAAGAAGTTACTGATATGGGCAGTCACGACTGTGAATAGGTTACGAAATATGTTTTTAATAAAGCTAGTACACTTGAGAAATGGCGATTCATGGATGGGTACTTGTTTGTCTAGTCCCTTCCTGAGGCTATCGACTGAAGGATCTGCATCGATTTTGCAGAGGAGGAAAACACTTAATGAGGAAAAATGTAAGGGTACCTAGGTGTTTCATGTTCGGTCTGCAATTTTACTTGGCGCGGTAGCCTTGAGGGTGGTGACGATGATGCGCTGGTAATATGTACGCATTCGGTTGGGTTGGTGTACTTAATATATGGTATGCCACTATCAGATCACCTTGTATTCTCCTAAAGTTCAACAAAACTAAGCCCACTTGTTGGAGTCAGCCCTCGTAATACGTTCATCAAGATCAATCCTCCACCAGATTGTCTGGTCTAGGAGAACGGTGAGTGCATACGCTTTAATCAGTGTTCGGAGCAACTCTGGCATGAATACATCAAGTTGTCTAAGCATAAATTTCAGAGACGAATTTGTCTCTTTGTATCTCCCATGTAGTTTGAGCTTATGTCTAACCTCTCTGTAACTACAAGCTCGAAACCAAGCTCTTTGTAAACGTTCGGAGTGGATTTTCATCGATGAGACATGAATTTTTGTTGAACAGGGCAAAATTACCATGATATATTTCAGTAGGTCACATTTCACTAACTCCTCCATTGTTGTAAGATCTTTTTGTAGCTCAAATGAATCCTTCCGGAACTTTATCTCATCTCAACAAGTCGGTGCAGCCGGGTTACATTCATCTAACTGGTTGCTATAAAGATCAGTAACAGGAGTTGATCTAAAATTGGTTCTTGTGAAACTATTGATATTAGGCCTTCTAACTCTTCTGGACCATACTTACATTGGTTCGAAATATCATGTGCTCTAGGTAGTTTCAGAGGCAGGATAAAAGTGGGCCAGTGAAACTCATCTTTGCAATCTTCATTGGGGGAAATACATGCGATACTGTGTCAATGACCTTAGCGAAGTAGAAGAATACTACATAAACCGGTATCGTCTAGCTTTCTCATTCAGCGAGCCATAGTGTGATTCTGATTACTCAGTTGGAGAGTTAATCTTGTCCTTTCAGTTGAGAGGTCCCATTTGAATACATTATTCTAAGATTCTTTCACGGCGTTGAGCTCTTCACGGTGCTTCCTCCATAAATGAGGATTTTCGACTCCTTATCAACCTCTGAAATAAGACCTCCATTAGTCGTCTCTGTAATTATAATGTTGGTACTGGTGTATGATAATTAAGAATATTTGAATTATAGTAATAACTAAGAATCCCAGAAATAATGCAATCGGATCAAGAAGTACTAGATAAGCATAAACGAATGTTTTGTATATGGAATACGAAATCAGGCATTCCGCAAGTACATAAGAACCATTAGTTCACTCAAACCTCACATCCGCCACAGCTTAAATTGGTTTCTAAATGTCTGTAATCGACTGTACGTTTTCTTCTTAACTTCATCCTGTGTTTGCCTGACAGTGTACGGAATAAAGTCTCAATATTACCTAGGTTGTACTCATTAGTATTAGAACTAACAACCGAAATCGAAACAAACTCACTTGCTTCCTGGGATTGTATACAATCGCCGCGTCCGTTGTGTACCGAAACCACCATCTAGAATTTTTAGAACAGATTTCCCAAAACTATCCTCCCCCCACGAAAGGATGTTGCATCGTTATATCCCCAAGTTATGAATGATGTGGCTTCATTCAAAACATATTTCTCACATTGACGAGAGAAAACATTAGAAGTGACATCGTAATAAGGATAAACAGCAGCTGATATGAAATAATCCGAATTATAATCAAAATCGAGGTCATTTAGTACTTGTGCTTCAGGTTAAACAAGTTTCCCACAAGAAACAAATGCATTATAAGGACAAATATTTTTTGATAGAACATCACGATTTGATTCTTCTGAAGTAGTTTCCTCAATTTATTAAGATTGTCATTGCAGAGTAAAAGACCATTAGAAAAATCAGCATCTATCAAAACTACATCAGGTTTTCGATCATCAATAGGTTCATTCAATATATTTTCCTCAGATTCGTAAGGAATTTAATCAGAAATATGTGAATCATTAGGAAGAACCATATTTCATATAATAATATGAGAAATCTGATACGTTGATTAATTAGAAACTGATGTCTCGCAAAGATCCTGAGTTTCACTTAACTCTGAACTGCTATATGACTCTACATTGTCTTTTGAAATCGTTGATAAGGATAAATGATCATTAGGAACACTGAACTTAATAGAATCAGAATTACAAGACTTAACATTAGTTGCAGCAAGATGAACAGTAGTATTACGAACTGACTGAATATATCTAATATCACCACATTTAAAGCACTTAGAATTATGAAATTTACATGGATTAAAAGAGTGGAACCTGCCACAGGACAGACATTGATAAAACTCGTGCCCGTCTTTGTGAACTGCGTCGCAACTCCTCAATGAATTATCTGCATAACCTTGAGTATGCACTGGTTTGGGATGACGTAATGTAGTGCAATTTTTCATATCTTCATGATTCATTTTACGAAATCTTCCTCCTTTACCGCATTCGAAATTTGTACACTTAACATAGTCTAGCAGTAGTTCCTTGAGAGCTGTATAAGGAAGTGAAATGGGCTTTTCCGGTGAAGTCAGAGTTTTTAATAAGCTACATGCTTTGTTTCCGATGAATGTGGGGAAATGTGCTACAATATTAACATCCTCATCATCTTCCTTGGTCATAGCTTAGATTTTGAACCTTTCAAAGTAATCCTCAAAAGCATCAAAATCTGAATGTATGTCCAACGGTTCCATCACAGGCTCCATCGCGATACCAATATAATAATTAGAAGTATTTGAATTATGGTACAAACTAAGAATCCCAGAAATAACGTAATCGGATCAAGAACTACTAGATAACCACAAACGAATGTACTGTATTTAGAATCCGAAATCAAGCATTCAACAAGTACAAAGGAATCATTAGTTCACTCAAACACCACATTGTGACAACGCGATTTCTGTGATTGTCGTTCAATAGATTAAAATGGAAAATGTGAAAGAACTTAAAGAGGCAAAAATAACGGAGTTAAGTGGATATATTCCACACAAGGTGAGGACCTGAAAGACACTTAAATTTGCAGTGTTACATCTGACCTTCTCAGCAAGGAAATTCACATGGATCCAGTAACTTATTCACAAGTTCAGTGTCTGTAGGAAAATGAATGTGTGTTTGTTGTAGCTGAAATAACTAGGAAGAGAATTTGATCGATATAGCTGGACCTGCCGCACAGTGGTTCGAAATTTGTATGATTATAGTTGTCAGATTTGTTATATTGGTGATCTATCAGAATGGCGGAGACGCAGGTTGTTTCCTTGAAAGTGTTAAAATATTACAAATTGGTAATGGAAAAGTGTATATTCCTGGTGATTGGTGAGAGGTCAAAGACTTAACTCTAAACTTGAAGAGTGCATGTCTTACAGTACCTAGTTTCTATTGCTAATGTCAGTTGAACAACAAGAATTCCGAAGTCCAATATTCAGAAAATAAATGTACACGTGACACATTTTTCCCACTTATAAGGTCACGGCCAAGTTAACCATGAGTTTATCAACGTTTTACAACCACACCCTACAGTCGTCATAAACCAACCAACTGATTCTTGTTCCGTCCTCCACTTAATTACGGCAATACGATACAAATCTTACGGCATTCGAAAACGTAGAACCCTAAAGTCGTAAATCAGGATAAATAATCATTGAGTAAGAATATAAAATGTACAGAAAAACATGAGTATTCATAGCTATCAGTATTGGATATGATATTGTGGTGCGTGCTACTTATATTGATGTAAGTAGTATATAACGCGTGTCAGGAATGTAATGTCTGGCGGCAGAAGATGGGGAAGATCAAGAAAGGAAGAGCGGAAATAGAAAGCAATTAGTATGGAAATGCAAGAACAACAAAGTCCGAGACAATTATTGAGCATTTTGCAAATTAAGTTTTATAGTATGGTTTTTTCTATTTTACCAGCTGTAATTTTGTGCTAAATATAATTCGGTTGTCCTTACCTGTGTTCTCCTTCACTACAATATCACTTTGATTCAGTAAATCAGCAAGAAGGCAAGTTATGCCACCATCCAGTCGTAGTATGCTATGTATAGGTTCTAGAATGCTCTACCAGGTTCTGATTGCACGGAATCGCTTCGGGTCCTTTGGAGTCTCATGAAGCTTTGTAGTGGTTTTCGAAAGCGTCTTAGCAATTTTAAATAGATATTCACTGCCACATCATAAACAAATAAAACACTTGCCATTTATAATGTGGCAGAAATGTGTAGAATTATGGTCTACTTCAACATTAGTACCTCTCTGATAATAGACTTAATCCTAAAATTGTAGATTTGTCATGATGTAATTGCCTAGTCTATAATATCTTAGTTGGAAGTCACATCATTGTCTACCCTGACTCATCGTATGGCAAGTCATCAATATATGATGGACACATTAAGGCTGGAGATAGAACAATATATTTAATATGGAAAAGAATAA